AAAGTAAATTGCCAAAACAACTTCACGTACTCACGAGAGAATAAATAAAATCAGATTTGTGTTTATCATTTTAGCAGACTAGTTTTACACCCAGTTGCATACAAACAAAACAAATGACGGTAGGTACAGTGATTGAGATGACCCAGCAAAATACTACAAGTTTAACGGCATTCGATTGGAGCAAATTCCTAATAATTTGCCAAACTTCTTTAAAAAATTACTGCGAGTCTATTTAAACGATTATTTTGCTCGAATAATGTAGGAGAAATTAAAAAGGCGTCAAGATTTGTAAAAAATATTGTGGAGGCAATGCTAGTTTGAGGAGAGCTAGGGGATGTTAAGTCCCGCTACACAAGACGTGCTACCTAACACGGCTCAATCTTTTACAAAAAAATAATAGCAAAATATATGTTTCAAGGCAGTTAACAGTTGGTTTACAAAGAATTGTAAGTGATAGTGTAACTTCACATCAAAGTAAACTCTAGAAATTTTCCACTTCTCTCTTGAGATTTTAAGAAATCAATTAAAATGCCAAAGTTTATATATTGCACAGAAATTGAGATTTAAATATGAAAGCACTTAAAACCTTCCTGTGTTATTTACCTCAAACAAAAACTAACTCAAATTCTACTGACCTTCCTGCATGTTGGACACTTCCTCTCAAAATGCGGATTCTGCACACACAGTAAGCAAATGGTGTGTCCACATGACAGGCTCTTGGGTCGATGGCTGTCGAGATCATACTGCTCGAAGCAGATGTCACACTGCAGGGCCATCTAGAGAACAGGTTAAGAACTAGGGTTTACTGAAGGCAGGAACTTCCCTGTAGTTTCAGCACCAGCTCTAAACCAGACAACATGGTGAGACAATCCCACAGCTAAACCGGAAAAAAAAAGCACTGATAGTAATAAGCGTATAACCTCTCCGACTGATGTATTGACTTACATCAAAAAAGTGTCACGTCTTGTTCTTCGTGCAATGGAATTGATCAGCAGGACAATCAATGTGCGCTTTACACAACGTCATTAGCTGTTGTTTTCTTCATCATTTCCTCAGGACAAATGTTTCACCTGAGTGCCTGGGGAATACCCATGGGTATGGGCAGGAGTCCTCTGCAGATGAACCCTGGGGTTACTGCCACCCAAAAGATGCAGTTCACATTACAAAAAATATTTTCATGTAAATATCATGATTTAAAAGGTAGGAAACCAGTACTGTACCGGAGTGACAAAGACTGTTTGTTGTGAATGAAGCCTAAACATTAATGAAAACACTTTTTGACGTGACCTTGAACCGGCGGCGGCAATCCGAGGATGAGAAATAACCGATACCACTCCTTCCATAACGCAAACAATTAAAAAACTGCAATATCCTAAAAAAGCAACCTTGGAGATTTTTGTTAAAACAAAATTATTTCAATGAGGGTGTCACTGCCAATGGCTAAAGATGAAGCAAGCAGATTGAGAAAGCATTGCCGCGTTGTTCGCGTGACTGTACTGTTCGCTGTACATGAGGTGGTGCATGGGGTAGCGCCGGTGGGCGCGGAGTATCGGCACCGCCACGGGCGGGGCGGACCGCTCCGCCGGGCACCGGAGCGCTGCGGGTCTGCCTACGCTGCAGGGGCTCCCTCCAGCTGCAGGCTCGCGGGGCGCCCTCCAGGAGGT